CAAAATGTTAGCAGTTGCAGTAGCAAAATATGTCCACAACTGCTGCTATAAATCAACAATTATAGCCTTCATACGTTAATGTTTATTCGGGTAAAATGTCAATGTATTTTTTTTAATACTCGATACCGAATAAAAAAGTCTGTCTGTCTGTACAATTGGTACAATGCTTTGAGCCAGGAAGGAAATAAGTATGGATATCTAGTGAATGGATTAAAAGAGCTGGCTGATTGGAGATGAGGTTAATATTACAGTCGAAGGACAGCGTCACCTGGGAGCCGTCATCGGTTCTCAAGAATACAAAGATCAATATTGTCGTGAGAAGGTCCTTGGATGGAAGGGAGAAATTGAAATGCTCTCTGAAGTAGCTAAGAGTCAACCCGCTGCAGCCTATACTGCATTCACAGAGTATGAAGAGCTTAGGCCTTGAAAAAAATCTTAGCAGGAGATCACTTAGGCGTTCCTAAGTTGTTTAAAATTTCTATTTACACAAATGTCAGGAAAGGTATTGGGCAAGTGACAGGCTCAAATATCTCTGGTTTATAAAGGTAATTAAATCTTTCGTAAACGTCTTAGTTACAATATGCGTGTTTGAATCTTTAAGCTTTATACGTTGGATTAAGAGTTTTAACTTATGTAATATCATTATTGGAGTGGGTTGTAATATGAAATTTTTACCATTGTGTATATATAAATCATTCTAACTGTGATGACCGAGGCAAGCATTATAAACCAAAGCCGGGGAGACTGAAATATCTCAGCTACTAACGGATCGAGCGCTTCGTTGTTAAAGTCGCCAGCTTAAATACAATAAACAATATTCAAATTTTGTCAATAGTTCCTTTTTCTTTGATCCTTCCTCCATAGTTCACCACATCCAGTAAATTGCACACAACAACATAACTTGGGCTGCCTTAGGCTCATTCTCTCTTTCACTAGAGGCGAGGAACGCCTTGTCATGTTTCAGGAGACATGACGAGCTTTGCCCAAGAAAAAAAACCTCTGTGGGAGATATATTTTAGGTGTGAAGTAACGTCCATCATGTAGTGTACGTGTTAATCCTGTTGTGAATATAAGGTATTTTTTGTAATCAGAGATGGCGCACTGTGTGATACTGATTATAAGCACTTCCATAACCCTGAACCGGTAAAGTAGCCAGGTTTTCTTTCATTTCGCAGTTATTATGCCTCAGGCTAACTTGAGAGGAATTTCGTTTCTTATAAATCGCGCGCAGATATTTTAAACAAACTTCCCTTGCTACTAAATATATAAAACCAAGATTCCTTTTTTAGTATTTTATTACAGTGAATTAATCATGACAACGTTTGCCGCAGAAATTACCTAAATCTAAGTACAGAAATTATAAATATAAAATATCAGTTTGACAAAAAGATTCTACTATACCGTAAACCTCCAAAAATAAGCACGTCAAGAAATACATAATGCGGGCCTATATTTGGAGGTTTACT